TCCCGTGATGTATTACAATGCGAGAAACTTTTGGTATAGGAGGAAAAATGACAAAAAAGTTGGCGTAAAATTTGGCCGAAGACCGCATTTACCGAAACACACAAAATCCTAAGAAAAATGGGAAATTTGGCCAGGAAAGCAAAAATATTAGCTCGAAATGCTGGAGCGTGCCAATAAGATAATAAGCTAAAGTAAAACACCTGGAAAGCACAGTATCTAATTAAACGAAAGACACAGGAGAGGAGGATGAATTAAACGGAGGAAAAGAGGTTAGCGTTTTACGCCAAAATGTCTTTTTGAGCAGAAAATGTTTTTAACAGACAAATTGAAATAGGACTAGCTGAGGTATGGATAAATAACAGCAGTACAGTAATATGGGACAAAAAAAATTAAAATAAATATGGGACTAAAAAAAATTAAAATAAATGAAAGGCTTGACTTTTAGTACTCCTAGTACTCAGTTTTAGGTTTTAATCAAATTTATTAGGAAAAATTCAAGGATTTACCTAATGGTAACTCCAAAAAAAGCGATTTTTTTCAGGCGCACAGCTTGCCGTTGCTTCTCCAGCAGTGCCAAATTTCGAACTGATTCATCCATTGCTCAGTTCAAACGTTCGGCATTTAAAAATAAATAAACTTCAGAAGGTTAGATGCCCCAGACAATGTGATTCTAATCTGAAACACAACACAATTTGAAAAAGACAAAAATACACATTCTTCCTGAAAAATTGCCGTAAATACATGAAAATTTGAATATACTCTGATGTTACTGAGACGCAATAATATGCTATCTAAGGCAAATCGTTTTATCCGAGGTTTTCAAATCAGTAATGAGAAAGACAGAAAGCTAGAATTTTTGAGTGATGTTCTTTATCCGTGTTTGATCGCGCAAATTTAAATTCACATTTCACCTACGCTTAGTTTTCTTGTACGGAACGAGAAAATTGGGCTTGAAAATCACTGATTTGGGAACCAGAAGAGTTAGGAGACTGAGATTTTAGCAGTACATTACATGCTCATGTACGACAAAGGAATGTCATGAGCTCCAGATATACGCCTAGTTTCCACATACGGACACTGAAAGCTTTGGTGGAAATCTGCTCAACTTGGAAACCAGAAAGCTAGGAAGCTGGAATTTTAAATTGATATTGCAAGCATATGCGTGATTGGCCACAAAAATTTAAACTGAGTTCTTACATATGCCTAGACCTCCCTAAACAAGCAAACGTTTCGGCGCAAAATTTTCTCCTCAGAAGCTGACTAAGTAGGAAGCTGAAAATTTATTATGATATGTCCTCTCTACATACGATCCTGAAGCTTCAAAATCAGGTTTCATGGGTATTATTGTCTCTGTTACTATATGTAGAATTTTACGTGAGAAGTTTTTAATTCAAGAACTGTAAAAAAAACAGAAAGTTAAAATTATTGGGGAATGTTTCCTCCCCATGTGCGATCCTATAAATTCATATCTATTCCTCGTACACGCCCTATGCTTTACGTATGGCCACGTGGAATTTTCGGTCGAAATTTTCACAGCTCGGAAACTGTACAAAATTTCGCTTATTTTTGCGCATTCTAAACTGTAAAGCAGTAAATATTCTTAACTGCAAACATTCGCTGGAAAGAACCACGCAAAATGCATGATTGTACCGGCTACCCTGATGCGCATCGCTATTTATTGTTTCGTCTATTGGATAGCAAAAGCACAAATGTACGCCACTTGCACTGCCTTTGGGGGTTTTTTGTCAAGATTCACTGAACGATAAAAATTAAATCGGTTGAAAATGACAATAGAAAATTGTACAAAGAAAAGAAAACCTAATTTCACTGAAAATGAACACTTCTAAAAAGACGAGTTGAATAGTCGAGGTTATGTAACACATAGTGTGCATGGTGAAGATTCCCTTTCAAGTGTCCGGACAAAAAACTA